ACCAACAATGCCTATACACTTACAATCATTGCAACCTGCTGTGTTACCCTGATTATAAGTCATTCTGGTGTAATAATAAAGATTGTGCTTTCAGACTTACTTAAAGGATTAGTTTGTGTCATTATAATGTTCTCTCCTCCATGAAACACATAAGGATTACAGAAGACTAAACTAGTTGCTTTCAAACTTCAAAAATGATAATAAAGAAGTACCATAAAAGTGGTCCATATGACTTATTCACTATTTTTCAAGTCATCTGAAGTCATATGATAGCTTTGTGTGACAGGCAGACCAACATTTAACTGATCAGTTCATTGAAAAGATCTGACTACTTATCTCATAAACTCATGAACCCGCCAAGGTGAGAATAACGAGTGAATAACAACTTAAATATTGGTCTGTTCTTCACAAGCTATCGTATGGCTTCAGAAGATTTGGAATATAGAACACAAGTCATTTTCAAGTCTTCTCAAGTCACAGTCTTTTACAAGAACTTTATGTTGCTTTTTCGCCATTTCTGAGTCCTCATTCACTTTCATACACTGAAAAGGGCACCAGTTTTCTTTTTTTAAGAAAAAAAATATTTTGTATTTCATTAAAGAAAGTAAGTCATATGGGTTTAGAATGACTTGAGGGTCAGTATTACAAATTTTCCTTACATTAATATCATTCTGATCACAACATATAATCATTGTTGTTAATCATGTTCACCATGAAAATTCACTAAAATTTTAATTTCTAGGTGAACTATTCCTCTAAAAAAGTAAAGGAGGGCCGGTTTATTTAGGTCAAGGTTTCCCAGACTGTGGTTTGTGAGGGGACGGCAAGGGGATGTGATTAATTAAACCCATTAAATGCTAAAAATGTACAATTAAAATGCATAAATAAGTTTAAATAAAAGCAATCAGGGGCCTGTTTCATAAAACAAGTTGACCAAATAAGCCAGGTTTATTTCAGCTAGTCTGACTTATTGTCAGTTGATTTGGTTCAAAATAAGTCAGACTAACTGAAATAAGCCTGGCTTATTTGGTAAACTTGTTTTATGAAACAGGCCCCAGGATAAAACGCTTACAAAAATAAATAAATATTTGTTTATCTCCATGTCATGTGACCATTTTTTAACCAACATCAGAGAACCATGAACATGCAGATTACTGAAATATTAACTTTCAGGGGTTCTTTAAGTAAATACTTTATGTCAAAGGGGGCCCACCCACAAAATAAAAGGTTAGGGATCCCTGATCAAGGTCAATGAAACAGTGCACTATAATACCTTGTATAACGTGCCGTGGCAGCATAGGGCTCAAAGTCAGTTTGGCTGTCTGCACGTGAACGATCATTCTCAGAGTAAGACCTTTGGCGTGGAGGAGGAATGGCAACAGTACGGCCCGTCAGGGAGGAAGATAATATGGCAGCTGCCAAGGCAGACCTGTGACAGTTATCAGAGAGATTACAAGGTTTACAGATTTTTAAAAAAGTGTAAAGATATTGGAACAATAATCCTAAAACAGCTATGTTGTAAGTTAGTTGTATAAAAACATTATGGCAAATGATGAGTGAGATTCTCAAGAGCATAACTGCATTGAGAGATGATGGAGGAGAACAAAAGTGATATGAATGGATAGGTATATGGTATGTGAGTATAACGTTACCTGGGTCTCCCTGAAGAGGGGTTGGGACTTCGTGGGGGAGGAGTGCGGGGAACAGCAGGTCTGGGGGCAATGGTGGCAGCGGGGATCAAGCCATGAGCTATATTCCGCTAAACAACCACAACAACACACAGGATTACATTTACGACACGACTACATCACAGGATACACATGGTAAAGCAACCCAGTGCCACTGCTAAGAAAATAAATACTGAGGTCTGAATTAATGTGTTTTTATAGGTTGCTTAGTAACACAGGCTTTTAGCAGCTAAATTAGGTCACCACAAAATGTAACTTATATTGTTATATTTACGCGATAGAAGACTTACTAATTCTTCCTTCTCTCTTCTTCTAAAGCTGAAGTTGAATTTGGATGACATGGTCCTCAACAAACTTCCTCGTGTTGATGAGGGATTTGACATCAGGATTTATGAAAACCGCGGTAACTACTGCTCATTTCAGAACTATCGTGTCGCAAAGCTATGTTTCAAGAGAGAAACTGACAGAGTTTATAGGGTTTTTTATATAAAAAAGACATTATTTGTCATCGAAATCTTATTAGCTTCAACTCAACTTCACGTAACTAGACGCTTTCCATGAAAACCCTTGAAATATAACAACTCCTCCTATTGGTTAATTTGTGCAGCTCAACCAATCAGCGTTGCGGTTTAATCCTCTTAGCAACGGCCGCATCTGAGTGCAGCAGTTCTCCAGCAGAGGGACGTCTCGTCCACTCAAAAAGACCACATACGCTTGGAAAGTGCTTGAGAAAATAAAGAAGGATGTCTTAGATGCCATTGCATTGTTGATTTTCTGTTGTCTATTTTATGTCGTTTTCAGTAAAAATAAAATATCGTTTTGGTACTGAGACTAGCAGGCTTTGTGACATTGTTAAGAATCTCAAAGTAAACCATTTTAAAGCCTGCTTGAAACATGAGCCATACTTGAAGAACTAGTCATGATCGTTCACCTTCATGTTGTGCAACAGATTTTGTTGTTGATGTAGTTTTAATTTATGAATTAGTTTGACCCAAAATATTTGAGTTCTTCATATTGCGTTTTAGTACAATGAAGATAATTGCAATGATGAGAGCGCATATGGACAAAAAGTTAAATGAAGTGTTTTTCCCCATAACTCTACAGGCCTAATACATTCCTTGTTCTACAACAAGTAACTAATCCAATCATTGACATTTAGGCTTAGCATATTGTCTTTTTTTTTTTTTTTTTTAACATGTTATATATTCATCTGAAAGATCAAAGATCACGTATTGAAAGATCAAATATATGAAACCATATATTTCATAATTAAAATATTATGGCATATATAAGTGACACATGTCACATGTCTAATTTGTATATAACACATAATTAAAAAGACACATATATTAATAATTATATACATTCCATATATTCAATTCAATTCAAGTTTATTTGTACAGATACAAATCACTGCAAAGCAACTTTACAGCAAATTAAGTTTCGCGACCTTAGGGAGCGTGATGGATTGTAGCGTGGTAGAAGACTAGTTAGGTACGCAGGAGCTAACCCATTAAGGGCCTTATAGGCAAGTAATAATATTTTGTAACTGATACGGAACTTAATAGGTAGCCAGTGCAGAGACTGTAAAATTGGGGTAATATGATCATATTTTCTTGACCTGGTAAGTACTCTAGCCGCTGCATTTTGGACTACCTGTAGCTTGTTTATTGAAGATGCAGGACAACCAGCTAGCAGTGCATTACAATAGTCTAGTCAAGAGGTCATGAATGCATGAACTAGCTTTTCTGCATATATGACAATAAATGTATTATACATACATAAACATATATTTTTGTATGGAGTAGACTTATATGTCAATATATGAAATTGTTCCATTTTCTAATAGGATTCATATATGGATTGGGCATATATAAAACATGTATTTAATATATGTATATTTGATATATGCACATATATTACATTTCCGTATGGGGTGCCTCACAGTTCCACATTTCTTTTTACAGTACTCACATTTTATTACTCCATATTACATTATTATTACTGTTGCTATCATCATTTATCGTGCACAAATACACCAGACATGCACTGAAAGTAGTAAAGAGGTCAGCATCACATCTAGTAGAGATTTAACAGTTATTAATCCTGTTGTGTAGGCTACTAACTGTGGAGTCAGCCCTGCTGGAGTGAAACCTTCTATACTTAGTCTAATCTTCAAATGACATAGTATTGATACAAATACACTCACAAGTCTGTGCAATGCTGTGAAACGGTTCCCTGTCCATTTTTTTTAATTATTATTACGAATATTTTATATATATATATATATATATATTTTTTTCTTTTTTCTTTGATGGACTAGTATTTAGTTCAATAATATGTCAGCTTCTAACATTTGTAAGTGGGATAAATGAGTGCTCCCTGTGCTTTTACAAGACTGCTGAAGAGGAGAAAGTGGGTGAGTCATACTAGAAATCACTGGTGGAAAGTGTTCCAGTTAAAAGCAGACTTGTTTGGGGTATTTACATGATTCCGGTAAAACTCCAGTTCTTGAATCAAAGCAATTGTTGAACAAGTCCTGAGTCAGTGTATTTGTGATGTTCTGTCTCAATGTTCTCCAGCTGAAGAAGATGCAGAGACATCCTCTCTTATCTTTCTCACACAGACACACTTAACCGCTGTGACATCACTGCTGGCGTTGGTAAGCAATCTCTCTAATAACCCAACCAAAGCCACACCATAAAATTCCCCAGTCTGTGAGTGATTTAAAATCCATTAGTCCACCACACCATTTTCACTGCCCTGATTCACATGCACACAGAGCACAACACGAATGCCACTTTTCCTCTCATATGAAGAGAGCAACGGAGTGTGAATTCCTTTCTTTGATTTACTGAAGTTTCAAGTGGTCATTATATTATAGTATTACTGCAGTTTACTCTCTAACAGTGAGATTATTCTCTCTGTTCTGCCCTTCCTTTACATTAAGTTTCACATCTGAATCACAGGGCTGCACAGTTAATACCCTGCTGCATTTATTGTCAATATTTCATAATAGTACATAATTTGGAAAAAGGAGGAAGAATTAGGGCAAAACAGAGACTATCTGCTTATTCATGCATGACCTGTATTAAGATATAACCACTTGCTTACGTAATCTTACTTTTAACCAGAATTGGCGTGGTTGGGAAGATTACACAGTGAATAAACACAATACCCACTTGCACAATAAAAACAGCCACTGCTTTGACCCCTTATTTTATTTAGATCAAGATTTACATATACAACAAAAGTAGGCAACGATATACATTTCAGACAGACATCACAGTCCAGACATTTCCTTAGACATATCACAATGGTAATCCACATAAAGTGTCGACACAAAAGCAAATAATCTAGAAATCTGCTTTACCTTTTGTAACAAAGTTAGAATTTAGAGCACTGATGACGATTCTGTTCCCACCCGAAAGAAAAGGACTGTGAACATCACCTTTTTCAAAGAATCATTAATATGTAACCTTGCAATGTCAACATTCTCTCGGAACAGTGTTTGCCATTATAATTCTAAATGTGGCACTTGCAGAAACATAAATGGATAAAATACATTCATTGACAATAATAAAGTATTTACAAGCAAGGAGCGGAGATCCACAGTTAAATAAGTTTGTGTCAGTGTAGACTGTGATAAGGCATTTTAAAGGCTTCTGAAAGGCAGTGTTTTCTACAAGTGAATGAAAAGTTAAATATTGTCAAAAAAATATGAAAAAACCTTGCCATCTGTACTTTTTGAGCTATACAATGTAAAGAGAAGAACATACACCAAGTAACAGAAAGAAAGATATGTAACCAAAAACAACCCATGATTATATACACCAGGCTACAGTTTCACAATACAAAACCTAAATACTTCTAATACTTAAAATGAATACATACGTTTATATAGATATTTTTTTCTCTTTATTTTGTATATAAATAATTTGATTATCAAATGTGTATAAAAATCTACTCTGTAGACAGTGAAATATTCCAACACTGAAGAAGTGCTAGGTAAAACACATGAAACAAAGGTTAAATAAGAATGGCATTTGTATTCACTGCTGTATTTTTATCCTTCTTGCTTGAATTTGGCAATACCTTTAGGAAATGCACAACTATAGAATGCTATCATGGTATTTCCCTTCAGTGTATGTAAATAATTGAGTTACACAAAATAATATTACTGTTTGTATAGACATTCCCGGGGCAAAAGCTATTCACTGTCCTCTCCTACATTTTGTTCTTCTACAGTGATTGACAGAGTTACAATTCCATTGCGATGATGCAAGATCATCACAGAACCCTGTTGTATTGGTCTGTATGTCAGCTACAGGCTTTGAGGAGGATGCCTGTCTGTGCCACCAATTAGTGGAATTTTCCAAAAAAAATCCTTCATCACACCATTTAACCATTCAATACAAGAATAATCAAACAAACAAATAATAATAATAATAATAATAAATACTCTGAGCAGCATACACTGTGTTTTATCTACTGATTCGTTAAAACACAATTTTCTCCTTTAATTTATTAAACCAAACTAATGAAGGAATGAAGGTATAGCTTACACCTGTGTTTATACTGTAGATCTGTGCAAAATGTACATAATTTCAATCCTTCTAAAAATCCCTCTCTCTTTTCTCGTTATATATTGTGTTGATATAAATCCAGTTTTGTGTGTTTAGTAGAGGGCACTTTCATTATATGAGTTGGGATAGGTAGGGCAGGGTCTGTTCCAGGGTCCGTTGTAATCTGCATTGGGCAGACTCAGCGTACTACCGCTCTTCTGCTTGTTCTTGAGACCCCAGCTGAGGAATGACGGTTTTTTTGCTACCTTGCGAGACTTCTTATCATCCTCATCATGTGCCAGGCAGATCATGGAGTAGGTCTTCGGCAGACCGCCGTATGTAGCGCTCTTGGTGGGCTGCAGAGGTACAAAGAGATGAGAGGTGATTAAACTCTTAGCAATACTTGATCTGAATCCTCAAATTAAATACTCACTAACCTGACATTTCCACACTAATATAGTTTTCCTTAAGCAAAGGATTAATGCACAAACTCTGCTCTATCTACAGCAAACTTAAGATCACACTGGCTAAACATACATTGTGAGTACTTGTAAGGGTTTCAGTTACACTGTGACACAAACCTGGATACATTAGGTGAACTGTTTTGTTGATTTAATGAGAATGTAATCCTATTATGAGTTAATCTTCAGTCTATCATGCTTTCGGTTCTACTGAGGTTTTATTTGCCTGATTACACACAGTCTATCAACACCCACAAATCTTCACAAAAAACAACAGCAAAACACTCAAATGTGAAAAAGCTATTTCACACAGCAGACACGGATCTTACAACCTTGTCAAAAACAGCTTATGAATCCTGACTGACAGAAACATTAAAGATAGTGGTGTGTTCACTGGTGAAAAAGGAGGTCAGTTATAATCAGTAAGGCTGGGTACAATCGAATGTATATAAAAAAATGAAATAGATTTCACAGGGACATACATTGTGAATACTGTGATGATATTAATGTGTTTTTTATTTTGTGATTAAAGACTGTGAACTAATTC